TTGGCAGAGCATGTTCCCAAAGGCCACATTCCACGGACAATGACAGTTCATTTTAGAGGAGAAATAACGAGAAAGGTTGGTTTTCATGTTAATTACATGTAATCAAAGTACCAAAAGATTTTTCATAAATTTTCTAGTGTAGACATTGCGCCTGTTTCCTTTACCCCTGGCAACACTACATTGCATGGCTGGAGACGTAACATCCTGTTCATAATGAAATCTTACTCAATTGTGCTAATAACGTGTTTGTGTTACCTTGTTCATCTAATTCAGGTTTCCCCAGGTGATGTTGTTGAATTATCAGGTATCTTTCTTCCTATTCCATACACCGGATTTAGGGCAATGCGTGCTGGATTAGTTGCAGATACATATTTGGAAGCCATGTCTGTCACTCATTTCAAGAAAAAATATGAAGAGTAAGCCACTTTCCTGATCTCATCACTGGAAGGCATATCACTTGCCTAATGCATTTAGCATCCATCTTTATGCTTTTTAATGCCAGTATGTTAGCTTGCAAAGAAGGCGTCTGATATGGATGTCACGAATCTCCATTCACTGAAACAAATTATTATCCGAGCAATATGCATGTGCATGTATTTTCATTTAATTATACTCAACTGCAGGTATGAACTTCAGGGAGATGAAGAAGAGCAAATTGCACGATTAGCTGAGGATGGTGATATATATAACAAGTTGGCACGGTCATTAGCTCCTGAAATTTATGGGCATGAAGATGTTAAAAAAGCTTTGCTTCTTCTTCTTGTGGGTGCTCCACACCGTAAGCTAAAGGATGGGATGAAGGTAACTTTCCATCTTACGTTCTTTTGTATTTGTTGGCAGTAATTTTGTTTGTAATCATTTATCACTAGTAATACGAATCACTTCAAAAGTTGGCCAAATCATTTTTTTTTGTTATTTTACTTGGAAAGTTCACGACTTCAAGTTATGCCCATAAGCAATATGGCATTAATTTCATCACTCGGTTTTCTTTCCTACCGAAGAATCTTCTTTAACTTATACTTACTATTTGCTTCTTTTTGTATTTGTCATTTGGTTACATTGCAGATCAGAGGAGATTTACATATTTGTTTGATGGGTGATCCTGGTGTTGCTAAAAGTCAGCTTCTCAAGCACATTATAAATGTAGCACCAAGAGGAGTCTATACCACTGGGCGGGGAAGCAGTGGGGTTGGTCTCACTGCAGCTGTGCAGAAAGATCCTGTCACAAATGAGATGGTCTTGGAAGGGGGAGCCTTGGTGAGATCTGTTCTTTTATTTGTTCTATAATTTATTGTATTTAAAGGGATATGTGCCAAAAATAACGTGACAACTACAATTTGTTTACATTTAGGACCATATAGATCTTGCCAACCTTTCTTCTCTATCACCCATATTAAAAATTATGCCTTGTTCTGTCGATGGTTATAATTTTGTGTTGGTTTCTGTTTTACATGTGCATTGGTATGTCTAAATCTAATCTTAAATATGGTCCATTACATCTAATTATCATTAATCTCAAATATGATCCCTTTTATCTAATTATCATTTCCAAGGTTCCCATGGTTTATAGAGACATCTTGTTTCTGTTTCAGGTGTTAGCGGATATGGGTATTTGTGCTATTGACGAGTTTGACAAGATGGATGAATCTGATCGTACAGCAATACATGAAGTTATGGAGCAGCAGACTGTTAGTATTGCAAAGGCAGGGATCACTACATCTCTGAATGCAAGAACTGCAATTCTTGCTGCTGCTAATCCAGCCTGGTAAACATATTTTAGGTCCTTCAAACTTGTTTCTATTATGATTTATTATTTTTGGAACCATCCTTCACGAATTGAGATGGAAATATAAGGGTGGGGGAGAAAAAGAGAGCACTCGGGCTATGAGAGTATTTGATCTGTATGCAAAATCAAATATATTAACTTGAGTCCTATAACTTGTTTTGAAGGGGAAGATATGACCTACGTAGAACTCCAGCTGAAAACATCAACCTTCCTCCAGCCCTTCTGTCAAGATTTGATCTTCTGTGGTTGATCTTAGACCGAGCAGATATGGATAGTGATCTTGAGATGGCAAGGCATGTTGTTTATGTGCACCAGAATAAAGAATCGCCTGCTCTTGGGTTCACTCCACTTGAGCCATCTGTTCTTCGGTAAGCTCAGTAATTGCTTTTCCACAGAAAACTTGTCAGTATTTCATTGATAACTCTCTCCTTATATAGTTTTATCTTTTATTGACATGATAAAATTGGGTTGCAAAGTCATGCAAAAGACTAAAAGCTTTGAAATTTGTCCGCATATCTCTCTTTCTCTGCTTTCTGGATTTGTAGAAGCTAATCTGTTTCATTGGTTGATAATGATACGTGTGCTGTGTAAATACCTGTTCCTGTTCATATTACACGTATTTGGTAGCTACATATATTGATTTCTTAAAGTTGATTTTCTTTTAAGTTCATGTACTTTGTCACGATCTTCATCTAGAAGCCTTGATTTCTCCATATATTAATCTTGTTTTATGTTTTTCGTTTGTAGTGCATATATTTCTGCTGCACGAAGATTATCCCCTTATGTTCCAAAGGAGCTGGAAGAGTATATTGCTACTGCCTATTCCAGCATTCGGCAAGAAGAAGCTAAATCAAATGCACCTCATTCATACACTACTGTGAGGACCCTACTAAGTGTTCTTCGAATATCAGCGGTAAGTGCTGGTTTTCTTCTTTTTTCTGATATGATAATACCTTGCCATCTATTGGTCTGCTTCGACGGGGTGGAAGGTTCAGTTCTTTTTGGGTTGGGCAAAGGGAAGGGTGAGGTGTAAAAACACAATGCTCTCGGATTTATTGTTTACAATGAAATTCTCTCATCTTATAGTTTGCTAATATGAATTATTTCATATACATTAACAAGAAGAATTTTCTGGTGCAAAAATACCTGTCCCCTGGGTGGAGCAGTTTTCTATCATTTGAAGTGCAATTGATATGAAGTTGATACGATTTTGTCACAGGCACTAGCAAGGCTTCGTTTCGCTGAAACTGTGGCCCAGAGTGATGTGGATGAGGCTCTTAGGCTGATGCAAATGTCAAAATTCTCCTTGTATTCAGATGATCGTCAGAAGTCTGGTCTGGATGCCATATCTGATATATATTCAATCTTACGAGATGAAGCGGCAAGGGCTAACAAGATGGACGTGAGATATGCCCATGCATTGAATTGGATTTCTAGAAAGGTTGGTTCTCTATACAAGAGATTGCAGTGTATTGTTGTTTTAGCAGTTGAGCACATGAGATAGTCCATATAATGTTTTGGTTGTTAAGATTACGTGAGGTGTCTTACCGGTTAAATTTTATTGTTTGGGTTGAACAGGGATATAGTGAAGCACAGTTGAAAGAATGCTTAGAGGAATATGCAGCCTTAAACGTGTGGCAGATACATCCCCACACCTTTGATATTCGATTCATAGATGCCTGAATCATTTGGAAGCTGCTAGAGTGGTTTGAATTTGCAGAGACCAGTGGACATAATTATTAGCACTAGCAGCATGCTAAAATCATGTATCTGCTTTAACTTTTAAATCATCTTTTGCTCTGTACTAATGTCTAATATTGATAGAGACGATGTTGTTGAACTGCTGATTCATTTTACTTGAGACGTGAAATTAGAAACTTTTCTTCTAAATTTAATCTCATGATAAATTTGTCGTTTATAATTCCAATGGCATTGAATTAGACTAATACTATGAATAATAATATCGGCGGTGACAATTGAATAATATAATAAAGGGCTTTTATCCATATCAAATACAAAAATATATTCTTGCACTAACAAAAGAACAGAAAGAAAAAGAATGGGAATGAAATTTTATTATTTGTATCCATCCATCATGTTGAATTTGCTGTTATTATTTTAATTTGTTAGAATTTGTTGTCTTAGGTTCACATCATATTAAAATTTAAATATATATATTTTAAATATTCATAAACTATTATTTTAATAGATTTATTTGACAATTCAATTATAAATTACACGGTAACAAAGGCTTTACTCAAAAATATAAGTGATTTACAAGGTATATCGTAATCTTATAATTTTCAAAAAAACAATAGTAAAAATAAGGAATCATTCGTTGAATACTTGAAATTCTAGACAAAATGAGGACGAAATGATTTTTTGTTGTTGATAATTTAACCAATAAAATCAGTTAAATCTATGATTCATACTTTTTGAAAATTTTGTAAACAGAAAATGAGAAATGAAACGATTGAAAGTTTTATGAAATAAACTGAATTACCAAAAAAATTTTATATCAAAATGATAACAAGTTATATCTTTAATAACCAGGATGATATTTAATCTCGAAAATTTAACATTTATTTTTTATTTTTCAAATAGGATGATTACCTTATACAATTTAAAGATAAAATTATTATATAAGAATAAACGGATGATTAAAATTATTTAATATTTTTCATCAAAACTTTATTATTTTTGTTTTTAATCTCAATCATTAATTTTTAAAAAATCATTTAATCATCATAAACTTATATAAAGCTAGAAAAATTTACGTTTACAACTGAATATCAGTTCATTAATAGTTGAAAAAAGTTTCTTTTTCATTTTTAACAAACAAACAAATTTAATCCAGTCGGCATACAAAACTCAAATCTAAGTTTGTCCCGCGGTTTATCAAAATTTCACGCTAAAGAAGTCGGTCAAAGCGGCGTCGTTGCGATAAAATAAAAATAAAATAAAAAACCCTAAATCTAGAGCCCCCCCCTCAAAACCACATTTCGTCCTGGAACAGCGCAGAAAGAAAGGCAAAGCAAAAGAAACATAGAGCTTCAAAGTTCCTTTGATTCTCTCGGGTAATAATTCTTCTTCTCCTCTAAAATCCCCCTTTTGTTCTTTACGCATTATCGGTTACCTAAATTGGTAGGGGATAATGTTAGAGGTAGAACACCAATCTTAAATTTATGTGTAGAAACCAAGGGAATAATTAATTATGGCGCATCTGGAGGACCAAAAGCACCGATTTATGGGTCAAACAGAAAATTAAATATTCTAGATAAAATAATAATAATGCCTGTTTTGATGGGGTTCTAATTTTTCTTTTTGGATTTCCTAAAAAATGTAGAGAGTTTGACGATGGAGGGTCAACCCAAGGTTAAAGTCACGCTTAGCCTCGGTTCTGAATTGTACACAGTGAATTCCAAAGCGGTTGGTGCCGTCTCCGAGCAGCTGTCTTCAGTGAAAGAAGAAAGTATGGGCATATTGAAGGAGTTTATTACCAAACACAACGTTCCCAATGATGTCCCTGATGAATTGCTGGAGGGCTCTTCTAACGACGAGGAAGAGGAGGAAGATGAAGTGTCCAGGAAGTCCAAAGCCAAGCCCAAAAAACCCAAGATAAATTAGTACTTGGGAAATAAGCAGAAAAACAATGGATTTTTTTTTTCTTCTAAATTTCAGCTTCTCCACTCTTCTGTGTTATTTAAGATACGTGAATCGTCTACCGTGGAATAGATTTTGGAAATTGTTGGTTGTTTTTAGCTGCATGTACTTGTTATTTTGAGATATCTGCAAGTTTGATTTGCCTGATTTTATAGCATTTCAATAAACTGTTGGATCTGACTTGCGCATACGATGGTCACCTAGGCAGAATTAAAGTTGATGAAAATAGAACGAAATCGTAGAATGTATCAAGGTCGATAGCGTATTGCCGACAATTTGTTTAAGGAAATTATTGAAGTTGTTGATATACGTCTTAGGGGAAACCTATTAATAGACTAAATTACACTAATTTTGCTCTTTGTAATGCTTGGGGAATTATATAACCAACCACTGATTTTTTGTGTATCTTGTTCATTTTGTTCAGTCTGTTGATTGGTTTTGATTGTAGTATAATTTGTTATTTTGAGTAATAAAATTCTGGTTTATCCAAAAAAAAAAAAAATTTGATGAAAATGAGAATATAACCACGGTTGGTAGAATTTTCTTTATTTTTATTTTTGAATGATTGGATGCGTAAGCCATTATAAAAGGGTAACTAATTGGTCGGGAATAGAGGTTTACAAAAAATACGAATATTTGATTTTGCGTAAAAGATATCCGATACTGGATTTGGGAAAAATCTGTTTTTTTAAACCGGATCGGATATTTAAAAACCGGATAGTATAACTGGTTTGGTAAAAAATTGGACGATCTGTTTTTTTACCCGATTAAAAATCGGTTTGAAAAAAAACCGAGTTTTATCCGAAAAAAATCCGGTCATGGTTTTAAAAATTAGCCGTTTAATATAGTCGTTAGGGGAGTTTTTGTGACCGTTTTTTGACATTTTTTTCTTAAAAATCACCATTTTACCACCCTAAACATGTATAAATAGGTTGGAGATGTATTTGGTTAATTGCAACTTTCTCAAATCTTATTACACAACACCTAAACATCTCTCAAATCTTATTTTTGTAATTTTTTGTTCATCATGGCTACAAACCGTTTTTTTATATCCTGTTTTTTTCAAACCGAAACCGGTTACACCATCCAGCCCTCCAAACCGATTAGGATCCGAACCGATTTTTTTAAAATCTGATTTTTTAGCTAGGTGAAAAAACCGGATCAGTTTTTATCCGATCCAAATCGATTTTTTATCCGACTTTGTGCATATCTAGTCGGGAAGGCCATATATATCTCTGTGAAGGATGTCATGTAAGAAATCAGGTGCGGTGTTATAAACTGTTTGGCGACCAGCAGTGCAACGGAGAGACTTTCACTATTTTATCTGCAACTTCATTTGCTTCGCGACGAATGAGAGTGATATCAACCAGCCATACTTTGTTGATAGTGGCAGCAATGGCTCGGACGAGAGAGTAGAGGCTGTCGGAAGGGTTGTTTGAAATGAGATTATAGGCATTAGTACTATAATTTAGAGTTAATTATTCTTTTTACTTGGGGTGAATAATTACAGTCAATTATTTCATAATATATGAGAGAATATTCGGAATAAAATTTATAATAAAAAATCATCGGAAAAAATGTATTGAGGAAATTCGAGAAATAATCAAATCCTCCTCCTGTAATCATATATTATAATCTATATATTGATTTTTAATGCTTTTATCAAACATAGGGTTATGATATTTATTCGTAAGTTGTTAAAACAAATAAATATAACTGTAAAATAATATAATCGACTTTAAATAAATCTTTTAATGATCATGTCAATAAACTATAACTACTATAAGAATATAATATTTTAAATATTTTAAAAACCGATGAAGATTTTGATCACAGAAGGACTAAAAATGAACATATGCTTTGTAAAAGAGATTTAAAAAATACAACAAAATATTAAAAATTATAAATTAATTAAGAATTCAAATGACATGTGCGCTGATGTTTGGTGGAATTAACCCTTTTTAACTTGTTTCGTGGTGATTCAGTCTTTTCCGTATGAACATCTCCGTTGGATTCAATATTTGGAATGTACATATGGAGCTAGAAGCCTATAGAACAGACTTTCATGGAATACCTTTGTTCATATAGAATCTGCTGAATATATATATTTCATAGCTTTGCCATTGTTAGTCTTGCGTTTTGCCCATTTTTAGATACAGTGATGTGAATGTGACGCCGATTACTTTCTAACTTTCTTTTCAAATGTTTGGCCGTAAATACGAATAGTGTTAAAATGGTTTTCAAGTTTGGTAATCAACTTTAAAAAAAATGGTTTTCAAAGTTTGGTAAATGTTTCTTTGAAAATGGTTTTTAAAGTTTGGTAAATGTTTCTTTGAAAAATAGTTTTTCAAAGTTTGGTAGATGTTTGTTGAAAAATGATAATGGGATAATCACAATTAATCCCTAGGTTTTAGGGTATTTACAAGATTAAGTCCTTAAGTTTTAACTATAAATACCCCTAGCTCATTTAGCTTCAAAACCATCCCCCAAAAATCATTTCTTTCTCCCAATACTAGAGAGCTTTCTTGTGAGTAGTGAGAGTTTTGTAAACACCTGTAAATTTTCTCTCTTAGTAAAAGATCTGCAGCAGTCCGGAGACGTAAGCAAATTGACTAAACTCCGTTATCAATTTCGGGTATTATTTTTCCGTTTTTATTTCGCATTCTCACTAATCTGGTTATAGGGAAAGTACTTGTACTTGGTTTATTTCCCAACAACTGGTATCAGAGCTTTTGGTTGTGAATTTTGTCAATTTTTGCGAGTTTACTATTCACGTGAATAGTGAATTTTGTGAATAGTAAAGAAATTTCGACGATACAAATTTATCGACGGGGGTGTTCTAATACACGGTGGTTCGCAAAAATTGTCAGAAACGATCCAAACGAAACCAGATTCGAGTAGGAGCGATGGCTGCAGACGAAGGGAAGGTGAAAATTGAAAAGTTCGATGGTGCGGACTTTGGCTTTTGGAAGATGCAGATTGAAGATTTTCTGTACCAGAAAAATTTATATCAACCTCTCTCAGGAAAGCAACCAGAGGGCATGAAGAATGAAGACTGAGCTCTTCTCGACAGACAAGCCCTCAGAGTTATCCGACTGACGTTATCCCGCAATGTTGCTTTCAACATAGCAAAGGAAAAGACCACGGCGGGTCTTATGGCGGCTCTCTCTCCAGTATGTATGAGAAGTCATCAGCCTCAAACAAAGTGCACTTGATGAGGCGATTATTCAATTTGCGGATAACGGAAGGGGCATCGATGGCACAACACCTAAATGAACTCAACACAATCACAACTCAATTGAGTTCAGTGGAAATTGAATTCGATGATGAAGTTCGAGCTTTAATTCTCTTATCATCTCTACCAGACAGTTGGAATGCTACTGTTACATCAGTTAGCAGCTCATCGGGAAATAGTAAATTGAAATTCGACGATGTTCGGGATCTGGTACTGAGCGAAGAAATTCGACGGAGAGAATCGGGTGAAGCATCAACCTCCTCCTCAACCTTGCACACGAGTCCAGAGGGAGAACTTCAGAAAGAAATTCAAATCATGGCAGATCGAAATCCAGACGGGGAAAATCCACAACGGGAAAGAAAGATTTTACCTGTTATAATTGTGGCAAGAATGATCACTTTAAAAGAGATTGCCGAGCACTGAAGAAAAATACCGGCGCACAGGAATCTGCCAACGTGACAGAGGAGACAGGTGATGCCATGATTCTAAGCGTCAACAGTCTGATTGAATCATGGATCTTAGATTCAGGGGCATCTTTCCACTCCACCCCATGCCGAGAAATCATGGAAAATTATGTGGTGATTTTGGAAGGTTCATCTAGCTGATGATGAATCTTAAAGATCGTCGGAAAAGGGACATCCGACTAAAGTTGCCAAACCAAACCACCTGGAAGCTGAAAGAGTGAGACATATTCCTGGCCTCAAAGAAATTTGATTTATGTAGGACAGCTTGATGTGAAGGATTTAGCACAACCTTTTCAGGTTGTGAATGGAAGATTACCAAAGGAGCACTCGTCATTGCTCGTGGTAAGAAACTGGTACTCTCTATATAACATCAAATTTAGAGAATATCATTGCAGTACAGATGCTGATGGAAAAATCAAACCTATGGCACCAAAGGCTTGGCCATATGAGCGAGAAAGGGATGAAGACACTTTTGTCAAAGGAGAAGCTGCCGGATCTAAAGAATGTAGATGTCGGACTATGCAGGATTGCATCTTGGCAAACAAAGAAAGTCAGCTTTGCAAAGATTTGTAAGACACCTAAGGCTGAAAAGTTAGAGTTAGTTCATACTGATGTATGGGGACCATCTCCGTTCCATCTCTTGCAGGCTCATTATTATGTCACCTTCATCGATGATTCTACAAGGAAGGTGTGGGTTTATTTTTCTGAAGAAAAAAATCAGAAGTCTTTGATACATTCAGAAAATGGAAGGCCATGGTGGAAAAGACTGGTATGAAAGTCAAGCGGTTGAGGTCTGACAATGGAGGAGAGTACAAAATAGGAGATTCAAAGATTTTTGCGCAAACAATGGGATCAAGATGGAGACAACAGTTCCCATGACACCGCAGCATAATGCGCAGAACGCATGAACAGAACTCTGATGAACGTGCCAGAAGCATGAGGATACATGACGTATTACCCAAATTTCTATGGGCTGAAGCTATCAACACTGCAGCTTACTTGATCAACCGTGGGCCCTCAGTTCCTTTGGATGGCAGAATACCAGAGGAAGTTTGGAGCAAGAAAGAAATAAACCTTTCACACTTAAGAGTGTTTGTTGTATTTCTATGTACACATACTGCTGAAAGAAGTAAACTTGATGCTAAGTCCAACAAATGTTCCTTTGTTGGTTACGGCGGTGATGAGTTCGTTTACCGGTTTTGGGACTATGAAAATCGGAAGATCATTAGAAGCAGAGATGTCATTTTCAATGAGAATGTGATGTATAAAGACAGGTCAA